AAGACTTTTTCTTGTTTGTGAATAGAAAGTTAGAAATTGACCTACCATTTGACGCTAAAACTATACTGTTTGGGTTTTTTTGTCTGAATATTCCTAGTAAGAAAGTTTTTGTTGCAAATTTAATACTAATATTAGCCAAATTTCATATCCACAGCTGTAAATTTGCCATGCTAAAACCTAGATTTATAGTTTTTTCTACTTATCTTTCTTCGTATATGTCTACTTTAAAGTATTGTACCAATGCAAAAGCCATAAAAACTAAAACACTCTGTAACGAATTTCTATTGTAAACTGTCCAAAACATAATTTCATGTTATTATTTACTTATTTTTTTCTTTTTTGTTACGCCTGCCTTAAGTCTCGAGCTATGTATGCCATTGTAGTTAGTTTTTTTTTGTATATGTCTTGTAGTTTTTTTTTTTTGTACTTGTTTTGCATAAATTAAAAAAACAAAAAACAAAACATCTGACTTCCTGGTTGTGCGGCGCAGGCGCATAGACTACTTACACTGGGTGCAGTCCTTTTCAATTAGCCGTATTTACAACTGGGCTAGAAGTAATGACGAGCAGGAGAGACGTAACCCTCACTTTAAAACCGGAATGAGCTGTTAGAGCAATTTAGGTGTATTATATTATTAACAGCTGACAATATTAATCGAAAATACACCAGGACTCGTCTACTGAATTACGCAGACCCTAAAGTATCTCATCGACTAATACGCTACTTGCAAATTCCGCCCATCCGGTTAGCCGCTTTGTCAGCCGGGCTGCAGCACATGTACCGGCTGATTGTGCGCAGCGGACTGTTGCCATGACAACAGCCAAACAGACATGGTGTCTATTTTACCAGACCTGTTGTTTGACATTTCAGGACGGGGTCCTCCGCCCAATACAAACTTTTATCATTTTTCTGTCACTAAATCACAGGTGAGTTTTGTTTTTAATGCCTCTTCTCTTGTAAACTCTTAGGTATTTTTGCAGACCAGCAACCTTTGAGTGTCCCCAATGCGCAAACTTAGTTACAGCAGTGATAAGTGGTCAGCTGCAGAAAGCAAACGGAAAATAAATAAGTAAATAAATAAAAACATAAAAGTTGTAGAACACCCATTATGTTGAATTGTAATGTTGAGCTCATAAAGGTCCACATTTGTTACACCAAAAGTTAAAGTAAAAAATAAAATAAAAAATTAAAAAAGTTACAGGCTTCAGTTAAAGTTCTTTCTAGCCTTACTATTGGGCCATGTTTTGGTTGATGATTAAAAAAAAAATTAGCATTTTATGCAATAATTTTAAATTAAACACTATATATAGATGGATAGATAGAAGGGGCAGCTGTGGCTGAGTGGTTAGAGCCGTCGTCCTCCAGTGGGAGAGATGGGGGTTTGATTCAACCAGCAGTCACATGTTGAAGTGTCCCTGGGCAAGACATTGAACCCCTCACTGCGTGTCCCATCATTGTATGACTGTGATAAAGTTCTGATTAGTGTCTACAGATTAATTTGTTCAGATTAACTAAATGTAAGAGTGCTGTATGAATGGGTACATGAGGCACAGATTCTAGTGTAAAGCACTTTGAGTATCTTGATTAGTTAGAAAGGCGCTATATAGGTACAATTACCATCAATAGATCGATAGATCTCAATTTCTATCTCATTTGAGGCCAATTTAGTCCATAAATCAATCTCAATTCAGCCCAACACTACTGGTCAATAGAGTATGCTTACATGGCATATAGGAGCTCTGAAAAGACAAATGTGGACCTAAACCCAACCTCAGCCAAGAACTTAAATGACCACATTTCAAAGTTCCCCTCCATGCCAGTCGGAAACCTTGCTTTGCCAAGTGAAATAAGGTCAGGTAAAAAAAATTCTCCCAGCATACATTCTGGAGATACGGACCTCACGGGTGTGTAAGGAGCCGGAGCTTGTTTGTGAGGTTGAGTGATAACAGTTTGATGGAGTTGGGCTTGCCTCACAGTTTGAGCTCTGTAACCAAACTCCTGCAGAAAGGCTGGACTCTTTCCTTCTCTGGAGTTAACCAGGGAGAAACTTGTCTGGTGTGTGGAGTGTGCTGGAGATGATGTTCATCTACCAAAATTTGAGCTCAATATCTGTAAATCTGACTGAGTTTTAGAAAAATAAGAAGTAAAAAGATGTGGGTGGGCTTGTTTTCCTTCCCTTCAGAACAGATTTGTTTGTCTGCAGGTGATATGGAGGTGGTGGAAGATCTCTCCGAGAGCTGTAGACCGACACTCCAAGCCAGGGGAGGAGAGGGATTCTCACCCTGACTTCTTGGATGACACTTGGATGCAGAGTAAGAACTTCATATTGACGTGTGTTTTCAGTTATCCCGCAGTGGTTTGATTTTCCTCCGGAATGTTTATGCCAGATGACAAACATCTGGTTTGTTTCCAGGTGAAGTCAGCATGGTGTTTGGTCCTAACATCTTGCAGTTCACCAAAGCGTTGTGCCAAGGTCGTTACGACTATCTTGAGCGCCTGTCTGACTCTTTGCTGCTACGGATCATAAGTTATCTGGAGCTTGAGGATGTGGGTCAGCTTGGACGAACGTCACACAGGTTTAGAAAGGTAAGTTCCAGAGACTCTTGATGAAACCTCTGTAACAAAATAAACAAAGAATAAGCAGAAACAAACATAAGCAATATTATTTTTTCATGTTCAAGTTCTGTGAAATTGGTCAGTTCAGATGTTAGCGTTAGCTCAATTTACACTTGTCTCTCCAAGGGTTCTAATTTTACATAAATAAAAACTTTATGACAACTGTCCTTCAGGTTTAAATGTTGATTTACTGTACATATTTAGATTATTCACAGACTAAAGGTAGCAGTATGAAAAAATAATTCTAGTAACTTTATGGCAAAAGGATGATGACCGATCAATCATGACAATGATATCAAAGTATAATTATTCTGCTTGACCATTAAACGATATTAGAGAAGATGAAAGATAACTTTTTGGTTAAAGGAAACTAACATAAAAGCATTATTGTCATACTAATATTAATATGTCTGATTGTTATCAAGCAGTAACAACAGCCACACAATAAATAAAAAAATTAATGGAACAATCAGATTGTTTAAAGAGAACTCTCCACTGTTTAATGCAGTTTGTTTAGGATCTGTTAGTGAGTGCTGAAGGTTGGCCCGCCCCGGGTGGAACTTGTTGAATAAATTAATTATCCTATCATCAACTCATTGCTCAAATAAGCTACTCCGAGGATACAAGAAGATTTTTCAACCCAGTTTTACTCCTTGCAATGGGGGGCCGAGTTAACACACAGACTTACACAGATGTTACATTAAAGTTTATCAGGTGTGCAGGCTCCTCTCTGTTAAGACAAAACAACTCTAATTCACACACATGATTCTACATTAATTTAACATTAGCAAGTAGTAACATCCATGACCTTTACATAAATCCCCCTGACAGAACTTCCAATGACTGGTGAGGTGGTAACGATCCAGACCTCTTCGGTCAACACAGCAGATTTTGAAAGAAGCTTGAGTTAATTTCCAACTTCACCAACGTTTTTCAAGAAGCGAGTGCAATGATGATGTAGTCTGTAGCCTTTGGGTTGGGTTGATCAAACACAGACAATGAGGGCAACAGCACAGTGGTACAGTGGATAGAGCAAGAAGGTTGCCAAATCTCAGATGGGGGCCTCTCTGGGTGGAGTTTGCATGTTCTCTCCGTGCATGCGTGGGTTTTCTCAGAGTACTCCAGTTTCCTCCCACAGACCAAAAACATGCATGTTAGACTGATTGGTAACTCTAAATTGTCCCTAGGTGTGAGTGAGAGAGTGAATGGTTGTTTGTCTCATTTGTCTCTATGTGTCCCTGTGATGGACTGGAGACATGTCCAGGGTGTCCCCCGCCTTTCACACAGTGACAGCTGGACATGGGCACCAGTGATCCACACAACATGGAAAGGAAGAAGCAGGTAAAGTTAATGGATGGATGGATGGATGGACAATGAGGGCTCAACACATAGTTACAAACACATCTTGTCTGAGATTCAAACCTCATGAATAAATGTAATTTATCATTACTTCCATGCACTTCACTCACCTGCTGTTATCAATGAACTCGCAGAAAACATTCCCAGCTGGTGATCATTTAAAAAAAACAAATATCGTTCTTCACAATATCGTCATGAAAACATCCAAGGGAAAGTACTCATATGAACATAACGGAAATTTAAAGGGTAACAGCTACTTTAGCACTTCAAAGTGAGAGATGTCTGTTTATCAGTGTTCCTGTTAATGACCAGGTGGATACTGATCCAAGAAGGACCTCCACAACGTGCTACACTTCACACACATACATAAAAAAACACCTGTTTCTTGAGATAAGAGCTGCTAAGCTTATTGATTCAATTCAGTTATTTATATAGTCACAACACAGATTCATTAAGATGACATCATTTCACATTTGTGTTTTGTCATAAATTATCAGCCCTTTTTGCTCACTCCTCCTATTGTGTCCTTTCATTGTTTACGTCTTTGATGTTTCTGGTCAAAAAAAGACAGAACACATTTATAATCACCTAATTCTGTGATAGATTTTCTTTTGGACCGAGCTAACTTAAATATTCTATTTGTTTTTTATGGCCTGTACGCCTTTCTTATCTGAGTCCATACAACCCATTTTGGGGATTAAATTTTTTTTTTTTACTAGAACAAATTTACAGATGACGTGCACATATTTTTACGTGTTAAAGTTAAGAATATTTGTTTTTAAATCCTTTCAGATTCATAAAATAGGCACAGTCTTTTGAATTCTTGGTCAAAACTGGTTCGACTTTATTACCAAAAAGTGGGCATGGACCCAGAACTACAGCTGAAAACCTGATCATATGATAATTACTGCCTTCACTCTGTAAAAACAAATAACACATACTGTAAAAAAACAAGAACAATTTAATGTCCACAATCTGTCAAGTTCATGCGGTTTGAGTTGAATTTGTCAAACAGTTTGAAGAAGGATTTTATTTTAATAACCAAAGTTATGACTTTTTTTGGGGTTTTTTTGGCCCTTTGGTCATCCTAAAAGCACTTTCAGTAGAGAAACATCCTCTCAAGAGGTGAGGAAGACCAAGATACATTTCCAAATCATAATGTAGCTGCAGCCTCAGCAGGTCCTGTTCCTCATCACTGGAAGTTTCACATCAGTTTGGTCTGTACTGTCTTTAACTTCTAACACTTCCTCCTCCATAACAGCTTCATGTTCCTGACTTTTCTCATTGTCACCAGAGTAAAAGCTAAAGATACTATCCAGAGCCTCAGTAACTTTATATCATTTGGACGTTGGGCTGTCACAGAACAGACCATGAGCAAGGCCTCAAAAAATCTGTATGTGTTAGAAGCTGCAAGAAAAGTTCTAGGTTGAAATATTGTTGTGATGGTGAGAAAGTCAGTAAATGTGGCTCCTGTGGAGGAAAGATTCCTGTGGGGGTTGCCAAGGAAGCAAAAGAAAGGGGGGAAGGTGTGTATGTGTGTGTGTGTGTGTGTTTCAGTTTACATTGTGCGCACCAATTTCGCAAAAAAAAAACTACACTGTTGGGACCAAAGCCTGGAATTGCAGATGGGTTAGGGTCAGGGTTAGGTATGTACTGGTAATGGATAGGTTTAGGGACAGGGTCAGAGTTAGGCTATTGAAATCAATTGAAGTCAATGCAGTCCCCACAAGTCACAAATGCCATTAAATATGCATCTGAGGTTATGGGAAAGTTCAAGGTTCTTTGTTGTCATTTGCATCACATGTGGTACATGAGGTGGAACAAAATTGTGTACACAGGGTCCCAGTTACATCCAACAGCAAAAATATAAATTGTAAAATAAACAGTACTAGGGATCTAAGATATAAACTAAGAAATACACAAAAAATCATGTCCGTCAGCTGAAGTCTATTCCAGACATAGAATCTGTCACAAAATCATTTTTACTCACTGGTCTTTCTTAATCGGGAAACATCACTGGTCTTGAATAAAACATTTGATGATTAAAAACAAGTATTTGTCCGAATCATTTATTTGAACAAAGTTGTGGAATTTCTTTTCATTACATAGAATTTCATAAGAGAAAATGAAATGGTTTTTTTCAACACAAACCTCTAAAAAGGTTAAATTTGACCAAAACACAGTAGAGTTAAATGACATTTTATTCTTAGATTGCTTTAACGTTGTATAATGTTGAAGGAAAAACAAAATCTTTTGTTATGTGTGGTGGAAAAATTGTGAACTCTTTGACCAATTTTAGAGATTATGAGTTTATTTTGACAGGACTGATAACGAACTGCTCGTAGGACCAACGTAAGTGGAATAAAACAACTCCACTTTGTAGAAATCCGTTAAAATAAGGCTTCTGTTTGTACAGGCAAAGAACTCTAGAAGTCCAATAACAATAAATAACTGTTAAGGGAAATTGTCTGTAAAGGTTTATAAAAAAATTAAGAATTAAATTTTTTGAAGATGACAATCTATTTTGGTTCAAGTAGGTTTATTGTCATTACCATCACATGTGGTACATGAGGTGGAATGAAATTATGTACACAGGGTCCCAGTTACACCCAAAAATAGCAAAAATATAAAGTGTAAAAAGAAACAGTATACAAGAATCTAAGATATACACTAAAATATATGCTAAACTACACTAAACACAATGCAAAACAATATGGTATAGCAACAGCAGCCCTCAGCTGCTGGTCTTAGCTGTGTTCAAAGTAGCCGTTAGCTCTTTAGTCCAGTCAGAATTCAAATCTGTTTCTCCAAACTGAGATCCAAAGAACCATCTACCAGATAAGATGTTTCCTGCAACCTTTCCATAGAACCCCATTTCCAAAGATACAAACTGTCCCCTTTTTTTTTCCAGCTGTGTGTGTCGGAGGAATTTTGGGAGCAGGCAGTGCGCCGACGTCTCAACATCGTTTCAGCTGAGGTGACGTCTTTGGCGCTGGAAGTGGGCTGGCGAAGTGTGTTCTTCACCAACAAGTTACAGCTGCAGAAGCTGCTCAGTCGCAGGAGGCAGCGACAAGAAGACCATGTGTCTGACTCGGAGGCAGAGGACTCCTCCATTAGAAGCTCTGAGAAGAGCCACCCTGCAGACTCTGAAGAAGAATCTCTCTCTGATCCAATCCATCATCCGGACCCTCATGCTGGTGCTGCTGTTGACTCCAGCTCCTGCTGTGATGCTGATCCTGATCCAGAGGGAGGCTCTGCTTCCACAGAGGTCCTTACTGAAGACACGCAGAACAGCACACAGAGCAGTGAAGACTCTGACTTAGGCCTTTAATTAAATCTAGATGAAATCTTCAGTTTGTCTGTAACATTGTTTTGTGAACATTTATTCACTTCTATACAGTGCCTTGC